GGCCCGCCCCTTCTTCTATTTTCTCCGCCGTCCGCCGCCTCTCTCCTCCATCCTCCGCCGTCCCTGAAACACCATAACAATATATGAACCACTATCGCAGCCACAACTCGGTGTCTGAGGGAAAATAGAGCTCGTATTTTTCAGTTTTTCTTATTTGTTGACCTAATTTCGTGACCGGCGATAGACTGCGTCGTCCTACACCATACACGTCGACATCAACTATTTTTGAACTGTGAGTATATATAAAACTGTTGTATAACTCTAGCTTAATGATTAGCATCGTCCCACCATTGTATTTGTGTAATAATAATGACAACCAAACAAAATGCAATGGGCCTCATTTACTGAGCACAGGAAGATTAACTTTTTGATTGGTTTATTGATTGTAAGTCCAAGTTTGCATCTTTCTCGCTAGCCTTTTGGTTCATGAGGCTCAATTTGAAGCGATATTTCGAGCACAAACATTGTATTAGCAGAGCCCTGTGTGTGCATTTGTATCTCCCTGTTTGTATTGATCTCGTTCATTGTATTTGGTACTTGTTAGGGGTGTTTTTCACTCATAATATGCCTCAGCCTAGTCTCAAGCCATGCCGTAAAATCTTCTTCGCGAATGACTCAATTCGGCCTTGCGAACAAATCCGATGGATGACCTCCAGCAAAAGGGTTGAAGACCGGAGCAAGAACAAACGCGTGCACGACCTAGAAATCGTGACCGAAAAACACAAGATGGTTATGAAGATCCTACACTTGTTCGAGATTCTCAAATCTGAGTCTGAAAACATAATCCCCTTGAGAAATCTCGACCAACACCGCAGGCAAATCAACCTCCCCAAGCCCCACAAGATCTCCGATTTCCTCCGCAAGTCACCCAAGCTTTTCGAACTGTATAAAGACACTAAAGGCGTGGTTTGGTGTGGCATGACAGAAAAAGCCGAAGACTTAGTGAAGGAGGAGGAAGAATTAATCGAGAAAAATGGCGAAAAGGCTGCTGAGCACGTCACTCGGATGTTAATGATGTCAGCGGATAAGCGGCTGGCGCTCGATAAGATTGCGCATTTTAGGCGCGATTTTGGGCTGCCGATTGATTTTAGAAAATATTGGGTTCATAAATATCCGGAAAACTTTCGGGTCGTGCAGCCATTTAAGCCTCTCGACGAGAGTGAGTATTTGGAGCTTGTCACTTGGAGGCCTGGTTGGGCGGTGACTGAACTGGAAAAGACGGTTTTACCCCTGAAGGAAGGGCTGAGTTTCGATGAACATGTATCCGGATGGCTTTCATTGGCTTTTCCTTGAAATTCCCCTCGAGTTACAAGAAAATGTATAGATATAGTGGGAAAATCGAGCATTTTCAAAAAAGGCAGTATTTATCCCCATATGCGGATGCAAGTGGCTTGCAAGCGGGTTCCCTCGAGTTTGATAAACGGGCGGTGGCCGTGATGCACGAGCTGCTGAGCTTTACTCTCGAGAAGAGATTAGTGACTGATTATTTGACGCATTTTAGACGGGAGTTTACTATGCCACAGAAGCTGATGAGGCTTCTGCTGAAGCACCTGGGTATTTTCTATGTCTCGGAAAGGGGAAAGAGGTTTAGCGTGTTCTTGAATGAGGCTTATGATGGTCCTGAGTTGATCAAGAAGGATCCGTTGGTTGTTTGGAGGGAGAAAGTTCTGAGATTTGTCGGTCACAGGGGAAAGAATAAGAAGAAAATTGGGTCTTTTGAGGATTTTTCAGATGAGAAGAATAGTGAGGCTTTGCTCGGAAGTGATTATGAAGAAAGATGACCAGTTGCAGATTGAACCCCTGGAGAATGACAGGTTGAGTTGTTTAGAGGATGATGGTTCTGAAATGGAAATTGAAGAAGTTTGCAGGGCGTACAATGACTGAGTAACCACAAGGTCTCGATATCTTCTTCTCGGTTATGTTCCCTAATTTTGTTCACTGTGCAGCCTATGCATTTAATCTGTCTGAAGATCAAAAATTTGAAAACACAACTATTTCTGAATTTTGGTACTTTGTAGAGTGGACAAGCAATGTATATTGGAGGAGAGACTTGTAGTGGTTCAAGTGGGAATTTTACAGATACTAAAATTGATTACACATGATTGTTAGACATGTTTTAGATCCGAAAAATTAAGCAAATTAAAGAGTTTGAAGATAAATGATCATATATGAAACGAAAATTTGAGTATCTAGCTCAGGATAGTCAGAATCTGAACTGAGAGGCAGTTCACTGTCACTAGGTCAGTGTATCGACTTGTTGGAATTTCTAGATTTTTTGTTTACTCTCTGATGCCTCTACCTGTTTTGCACTTTCTAGATTTTATGTGATACAAATAGAATATTCCTCATCTTTCGGTGACTCAATGAATTTGCCATTTTTCTATCATTTATTTTGTTTGAAGTTTTCCCTTCTAATGTCCAATCCTTTTGGGTTGTTATAATTCATGAAAAAAAAAAAATGATGGTGCAACACTTGTTCTTAGTTTACAGCAGTATTTGCTGATCAGATAATGCTTCTGTTTGTTCCTAAATGATACTATTGCTTATGGCCTTTTCTGAACCTTTTCGTATTGAGGATACAACAAAAGGAATTATGTTTTCAGTTCGCTTTGGTGTGATACGAAAAGAAGGAACAATTGTAATGATAATGGGATTTATTTGTTTTTCAGTTCACATGATTGTTAGACATGTTTTTTATCTGAAAAATGAAACAAATTAAAGAGTTTGAAGATAAATGATCATATATGAGACCTGTTTCCTCTTTTCATTTTCTCATCAATCAAGTGCAGAATTGGTGTCCATAATTAGGAGTGTAGCAAATAGCAATTTTAATCTTAAGAAATATCATAGATAGATACAAATTCTTGTGTGAGACGCGTGAACCGTTAGGCGGTCTTCTTTTTTTTTTCTTAATAAAAATGCATATTCGCTATGAAATGTAATATTTTTATTTATATTTTTTTTTAAAGTGTGACATTCTAATTTGAAAATTTTAAATGTAAAACGTTGAAGAGGTATATAATTGAATTTTCTATTGTCTCCCATAGTTTCCAATATGCAGTTAAAGTTTTGGTTTTTTTATGATCAGATTCTGAATGGGCCCTTTATTATTATTATTATTATTATTTTCTTTCCAAAATGCTTAAATGTCAAACTATACGAATCACAAATAGTAAATACCGTCGTTAAAGTAATATACAGGTAAAAAAGTCGCAATAAAATTGCTAATTGATAACATTGTTTACAGGACAAAATTTTCAAGGGCCAAACTGTTACGTCACCAAAGCAAAAGACAAAAATTGCCAACTCCTAACTGAATTACAGATACGCGATAAAAAATCAAAATCAAGCATATTATTTTTCTTCTTATCAAGACTATTATTATATAATATGACGAGAAAGAATCTCACATGATGCGAGAGAATGAAGAAATTTCCTAGTGCTACACTTAATAATCTAAGATTTTCTGGAAGGCTATAAACAAATCAAGAGTGCCCCAATTTGAGCTGACCAATTTTTTCAAACATAATTGATGCAAGTTTTCAAATAGTTCGAAAAAAAAAAGAAAACTAAAATTATTACAATTATTAAAAAAAGGTTCAAAGGTCTATAATGCATGTGGATTTGGGATTAAGAGTCTCACTGATCATGATTAAAATAAAAGTAATCCTAGTTAACTTTGGTCTCAGCCAAATCTTGTAGTCTTGAAACTCTCAAGATATAAAAGGATCTATCTAACTCCCAAAGGCAAATCAAATCAGATACTATAGGCCTTTAATTGATGTTCAGAGTTAATAGAAACATATATACATTATGTGTAAGGTGTATCTTGGTAGTTGTAGATTTGTAATACTGTTTTTGAGATTAAATTATGCTTAATGGTGTTTGATTGGTGGGGAAAGTGTGTATCTTTATATATTTATTAGCGTATTTTTATATGCTTAATTTTATCGCACTTATCTATTTTTCGAATTATTTATTTCTTTAGATGGATTCTTGCACTTTGATATTTTTATGATTTATTTTTTGAATATTGGAGCATTTTCATTGGCGGCTGAGGAATTAAATAAAAAGAGACATGAAATTGGGCATTCACGCCATCAAGCCCAAATGTTGGTTAATTGAGCCCAATTTGGGCTATTAACTTATTTGAGGAAAAGAGACGCAGCCATCAGGATTGTTTTACTTTGAGAAGTAACCACCAATCATCCATAGGATTTATTTAAAGGGGTTCACACATACGCAGGAAGATTTTTTTTATTAGCGAGAAGAAAGAGCCGCCACACAGAAAAAGGATACGCGGACGGAGAGAAGAAAATACGAGGGAGTCTGACGAATTGCGGAGGGAGGCCGCACCCGCACTCGAAAGGGGATAATTCTATTCTCTTTCTTTTGTTTTTATTTATTATGTTAGAGTAATTTTTATTTCTAGTTCCGGGGAAGTCGAACCCTACGTACTTGATGATGTTTGATTGATTTTCTTGGTTGATTATTGAGTTATCTTTTTGGAATTGTTTGTGTTATTTTGAATAATTCACCATGATGTGTTAGTCTTGTTTAGATTGATCACCTAGATTAGGCTTTTCATATCTACATCTGAATTAGACCTGCAATCCGTAATTGTTGTTGTGTTTAATTCATAAGAGGTAACCGGAAGATGGTAACTACCGGGGATAACACGGCCTAATTAAGTGAACGAACGCGGTTGAGTTCACTAATTAGTCTAGCCTATTTTTCTAAATCGTAAAGCGGCTAATTGTATTAAATCTTGAAAACGTTTTTCCGGACTGTACAAGAAGTCAGGTCTAATCGTCGAGCGTCTCGCGGTTAAATTAAAAATAAGGAAAAATTCGGGTAATTGACCGTGTCGTTGCCTACGGCTAGTAATTTCATAAGATAGCGAGATTTGGTACCAGAATTGATTAGACGAGTCAGTCGAGGGTGTAGACGGAACCGTAAACTAGAAGCTTTCTCTTATTTTATTTATTTTTATTTTTATTTTCTTGTTTAAATTTTATTTATTTCATTAGATTTTTAGGTAGTTTAGTTATTAAATCAAAACCCCCCCATTTATCGCTTTTTATAATTTCAATTAATACGAGAAAATTCACGATTTGATTCACACTCCTCGTGGGATCGACCCTTGCTCGCCACTACTACTAGTTAGTAGAGGTTAGTCGAGGAAAATATAAATATTAATTTTGCTGCGTTGCGACGCGCGGTCACTAGGCGGCCTTGGCGGGCTCGGCGGCCAGGCGGTTAGGCGGCGTCTAGGCGGGCGTAGGCGGACTTAGGCGCTCCTAGGCGGGCTCGGCGGCAATTTTTTAATTTTTTTTAATTTTTTTTTTTTATTTTTTTAAATACTAGTTACATTATTTTGTTCTCATGTTTTCTTTAATATATATTAATATTATTATTTGGACTTTGGTGTGTGAATTTATTATATGTTGAGATAATCTTATTTTGTAGGTAGTTAAAATAAATAAAAAATAAGGTATTTACTATTGATTTCTGGGCCCCGACTAGGCGCCGCCTAGGCCCCGACTAGGCGGTCTAGGCGCTAGGCACTGGTCGAGCGCCTAGCGGGCGCCTAGCGACTTTTAGAACACTGGTTTAAAGTTTATTTAGTTAACCAGTTGAGATAAGAGCATCTACAATGTACTGGGTCTAGTCTTGTTTATGTGGCATGTAAAATTATGTAAAATTAATAAAATCCACCCAATGCAAAGAGACTAGATCTCTACTTAGGGTCTAAAATAATCTTAAGGGTAGACCGAGTTTCTTTTTCTTTTTCTGACTGCCACATCATCAGGACCCAACCTACTTTTATTTGCATTGAAGAATTTATTTTTGTAGACTAGATCTATTTCTTAGGTGACATATAATTTTGTGGAATTAAACTCAAAGTATTGTGGATGCTAATGACTTATTAATGCTTATTAACACTCAAAAATATATATTTTTATATAATTTTTATATAATTAGACTTATTAAAGACTTGAGTTGAGATCGTTAAAACTCAAGCAGAATCCATTGTGATATTAATAAACAAACCAATATCGAGTTCATTTATCTTACCGCCGAGTTTGGCCCAACTTAATTAAACCTCAAGTTCGAGTTCAATAATCATAGCCTCGATCTGGTTTACAACTACATCCTTTAATTGGTCAATCTGAAATACCAACATAGCATTTTTACAGTCATTAGATAGAGAAAGAATGCATTATTCATGCATCTCAATTATTTTTTTCTCGAATTTTTACAATAAAAAACAATCATTATTTACTCTTTTCTAGTGACGCTTTATTTAATTATTGTTATTTTTTTTCTCATAACAATTTTTATAATCAATATGAATAATTTTCCTCGTCATGTGAGGGAAAATTAAGATGCAATAATTTTAAATTCATCCACTAATGACAAGTTAAGCAATGATGAGGGNACAAAAAAAAAAAAAATGCGAAAAATCTATGATCCCAACTGTGTTTACAAGAATTTGGAAGTTAATCTGAAAGATCGAAGATGTAAATATGTAGGATACAAATTGAAGAATTTGAAAGAATCTAAAAGATGTATTTGGAATGCAATTTAAATTTGCGTAACTGGTCCATAGCGACTGTACATCGCAACTTTAAATAAAAAACAATTTTGTTAGTACTCGAGATTTAATGGCCGAATTATAGAAAATTATATAAAAATTCTCTTTGTAAGTTTTATCGAGCCGAGTAAAGCTCGACTCGTTAACAAAACGAGCTCGAACTTGGCTCGTTTATCAAATGAGTCGAGTCAAGCTGAACTTGAAGAATTTTTAGGGGATAAAGCATCTCCAATGTGACTTTTGACATTGTAAAAAATTATTCATATCATCAACTTTTGAAAGTTTGTTACTAATTTATTCTCCAATGCATCTTGTCATTAGCAATTTCATGATGATGTGGATGACATTTAATGTTGACAATGTTGAAATCATTTTCTAATATCTAACACCATGTTAAATATGATGATTCATTAATTCACTTTATATTTGGTTTAATTTTTTATTATTCTTGTATCAATGAATAATTATAATTGGTCTACATGATGATTCATTAATTCACTTTATATTTGGTTTAATTTTTTATTATTATTGTATCAATGAATAATTATAATTGGTCTACATGATGATTCATTAATTCACTTTATATTTAGTTTAATTTTTTATTATTCTTGTATCAATGAATAATTATAATTGGTCTACATGATGATTCATTGATGTATTGAAGATACTAGTTTGATTCAAATTTTTAGTCTTTTAACATTATTCATGTATGGATTAATATTACAATCATTAATTGACATGTGTTAAAAATCATTCCCTTTCAAAACCATAGGATTGGAGATGCTATAAGCATACACTCTAATACTGGTTGGAATACCTTGAAATAGGCCACTTTCTATTTTATAATTAAATCTCCCTCAAAGTCAACATCATAAAACTGCAAGACACAACAAAACCAAGCAACTGAACTAAAACATGAAATTTCAATAGTGAACTACTTCAGAAGATCAGAGTTAACATATAATCATCCAAACCAATCATCAACAGAAGGTTTTTTTTAAAATATATATGATTACCATATTTCCTACTTTCAACACTTTCCCCAAAGGCACCCTTCTAGTATAAAATTGCAGAAACATTAAGGACATATAAACATCAAGCCAGATGACACCATTAGTCATCACTCGAAAGCCCACTCGTTCTCCTTGCGAATCGCATCTTCCTCCTCCTCTGTAAAGTCGTTAGTTATGTTCAAAAGCGTGCGAATCTCCACAATCGACTTGTTCTTGATAATGTCTGCCACAGCTCGGCATGTGATGTCGAGCATCCCTCCGATGTTCAAGTAGTTGGCAGCCTGAAAACACGAGATCACTACATTTAAACAAAAGACACCAATATTTTATTATGTGTTGCTTGTATGAAAGCTTCTTGCAGTCAGTGGCGGATGTACATATAACTTTGGGGGGCATGGTCCCCTCCAAACTTTTTTTGTTTTACTTAAGTATATATGTAATATATTAGATTAAGTATACTTAATTATTATTGTCCTCTCTAAACATTTAACTAAAGATATATTGTCCTCTCTACCCATCTACTGAGACAGAACAGTTAATGCGGCAAAATCAATAGCGAAACTAAATCGACGGAAGATCCTGGGCACAAACTCAAAATAATCAAACCCCCAAACACAGAATTATACCATCTACAGAGGCAAAGCAATAAATGCAACAAAATTAGGAGGCGAAAAACACACCAACGACAAAATCCAGGGTTTCAAAACTCAAAACAATCGAACAGGCGGAAGATACCTTGATCAGTTCAAGCATCAGGCCATTGTCGACCTTCACGAACTCTGCGTCGAATTCCTTCAGCTTGTCCTCGTCTTTCTCCTCTACGTGGCGCCGGCAGTACTCAATCACCTTCGAAAGCACCTTGGACGAGACGTTTGGGAGCGGGATGGCGTTGGCGGCGCAGCCGTCCTCGATCATGTGCTTTATCGTCTGCGACTCGCCGGCGACCGACTCATCCACCTCGAACAGCTCCCCGTCGGAGGTCTTCAGCACGATCATCTTAGCTTCAGTGGACGCCACAGATTTTTTTTTTTTTTTTAAATATCGGAATCTGCAGAAAATACGAGTCCAGAAAGCGAGGGATTGGGGTTATGACTTATGAGGGGTCGGCTTTTATAGAAGGGACCGAGGACGTGAGGCGGTTGATGTAGGGGCAGTTTTGGAATTTTTGCGGGCTGATTTTCTCCTATTTTTGTACGGAAACCTTAGTTGGGTTGAAATAGGAATAAGGGTTACGCTGATTTAAGTAAAAATCAATTTAAGTATATTTTTTAAATTAAACTTTATATGATTTATTGCATGATATAAACTTTCCCTTTTCTAATTTGATTCTGCTCGAGGAGAAAGTGTCCTACTTTTATTAATACAATTTGAATTCGATTCTCTTATTTAAATAGAAACTAATGATAAGCAAGTTTTAGGATTAGACACTTATATGTTTTAATAGTTATTAATATTATTAATACTTTAAAATTAAAATATATACCCTATAAAACAGTATTCTAAATAAAATTATGACATTTTATAATATAAATATCTATTTTCGTGACAAATGTATAACAATTTGATCTATTAACTATCGGTCACGTCACACAAGTATTTTCGTGTCAAGACTTATAATATTATTATGAGTCTTTCTTTATCATTTTATTTTTCAAAGTCAAAACACATTGACAACAAAATTTAGTGTCAAACTATCAAACTTAAACATAGTTCGATGCGGAAATTATCTGACCGCCATGACAGGATTCGCCCTCGAATTCGACTCGTTTCCGTTGGAGACGTCTAATGACAGGAATAGTCCAACGTTTCTTCCAATCAAACACGAAGGTTGAAGGTCACCCAACAACCTCGAAAGTTAACATAATCTCGGGCAAAGATTGAACTACTGCAAAGGCACATGTACATGCCTTCATACGCATAACCCACACAGCTGAATTAACACAAAATATACCACATCGTTCGCCGCGCTAAAATCCATAACTACGACCAAACATCCCATTGTTGGGAGACTTCGTGATAGACAATCGAAAAATAGCCCACCAGTTATTGAGCCTTGACTTCGGCTCCCAAAAACCATCGTTGGCCAAGATACTCCAAACATCGGGTTTCAGCGACGGCATTCCCTTCAAAGGCTCAACTTCTACGACGTCCCACGCGGGACCCATATTGTCGCAAAAATATTTCTCCATCACCGGAGGCTCCTCATCGAAAATAGGCGGACCGTCGTACAATAGCCCGTCATCTTCTTAAAAAATCACACTATGTTGCCGCACATCTTGGTCGTCGTGCGCATCAACGAGCTTAGTCTCGACGGGCGGAGGCGGCCACTCTCCGAAGGGATCCACCTCCGAGATGGTCGCCTCTCCGTCTGCATCGCCGGGCGGCGGTTGTGGAGATCGCCGATGGGGCGCCCCACATGGAACACGACCTCCACTTCCTCCATGAACTCCCCCGCGCACACCTCGGTCGCCTGCGAAACGGTTCATCTGCAAATCCCAAACCACGTTGTTAAGCATCAAATGCAAATCCTCGATCCCCGTCGAAAGATCTGCAAACCAATCCGTGAAATGCACGTCCAACTGTTCAAATCGATAGTCGATATGTTGAAACCGATCGTTGAAGATTGCATCACGTCGTTTGTTTGCGGCGTCTTGTCGTCCCGGCGACATCGCGAATCGTACTGACTGCTGATACCAACTGATGTAGGGAAGCATACGAGTGAGAAAGATAAACGAGATATTCTCTCGTAAAACACACAAAAATCACAATATCTGATTCAATCTCCAAATTCATCATCTCATAACAAAGCAGAAGAGCCCTTTAAATAAGGACCTCAAAATAAACCCTAGCTTATTCTCCAAACTAACCTATAATAATAATAATAATAATAATAATAATAATAATAATTATTATTATTATTATTATTATTATTATTATTATACACCAACTTGGCATTGAAATCCTTCGTGCGCGTCTGCGACATGACTGACAATTAAATGAAAATTTATTGTTTAAGGCGGCTTAACCATTAGGCAAATTCATCGATAATAAAGTATACTTATGTTTCACAATAATAAAGTATACTTATGTTATATTCGATCAAATTTTCTTTAACAAAAACTAGTACAAATTCCGTACGCACGGGTAAGAGATAGTCATCAATATTTGTAAAATAAAAATTCTCATTAAATAATATTTATAAATGAAAAACATGGGATCAATATTTAATACAATGTACCTATATTAATTTATTGAAAATGTTATATAAAGTTTAAGTTGTGAAAAATCATATAAAAATGTCTATTTAAAATTAGTACACAACCTATGCGTTGCACATAACTGATAATAAATTGCATTATATTCATTTCAAAATATGTGTGATTTCAAAATTTTTATTCAGAAATTTGATTTGACTATAACGTGATTCTATAAAATAATTATTTTGGTAAAATTTTATCATGTATTTAAAACTTATGTGAATAATAAGTATAAGTATAATACTTATATTGTTTCATTAATTAAAATAAATTTATTTTTGTATAAATTATCTAAATAAAAAAATTAAGTAGTTGAGTAAAAAAATTAGTCATAAGATTTTTTTTATGCCAAAAAAATCGACACTCTTTATCATGCTAAAAAAATGAACAATGCATTTCACAAAAAAAAAAGTATTTGAAATGTCGTAACAAAAAACGAATTAAATCGAGACCCACAATTATATAAAAAAATAATGATCATAAATTTTTCTATAAAAAAAATCATCGATACACGTATATTATATCAAAATATCAGTTCATATCATTTTGTCGGAGTTACGATAATTTTACTATGTTAATTTCATACAAAAAGTTAAAACAAAAATTGAAACCCACGCCTAAACAACAATATATTGGCCTGCGCATTACAGAAAAAAGTACACCGTATATTGATTAATTTTTCAATAAATTTAAAATTTTTTACAAAAAAACACTCATCAAATGACCTAAATAAATTTGCTCGCTTTATACCATATATTAATAAATTTATTTCCTATAGAAACAACCATCAATACCAAAAATAAATCCGCCCATTTTATACCGTATATTAATTAATTCACATGAATTAGATTTTAGATTCAAAAATTAGATTAAGAAAAAAATTTCACTCTAAAGAGAGTCTCCGGCCTGACACTGCACAAATACCATATATTAATTAATTCACATGATTTGAGTAATCAAGCAATCTTAAAATATGACATAATTAGTTCCTTAAATAATGAACCGCAATTTCCATAAGTGATCATTTGAAAAATACTATAAATTGTTAAATTATTTCCTGAAATAATTAATAGACTTTTTTTGGAGAAAAATAATTATTATTTAAAAAATAATCAAACATTTATATACATATATATAAATGCATATTTATGCTATGAAATGTCATATTTTATGGTAATTTCACATGTCCTTAGGTCTTTTTGAAATTTTAATACATAATACGACATTCAAACAAAAAAATAATAATACGTGAATCATTCATAAACAAGTCATAAACTAAAAAATATGATATATAGAAATCAATGACAATATTAAACCACAAATCAAATCGTTCATAAACGGTAAAAATTAGTATATTTGTAATTTAAAAAAAAATCATAATATACAAATAAAATTGAATTTAAAAGTAAACCGCAATTTACTCACCTTATACACTTCATACTTGCTTTGTGTTTGGCCAGGTGATGAAGATTTTATAGCAGGCACAGCTAGTGCTGCTGTTACGTGAAAACCGCACCAAACTTAAAAAAACCAAATAGTCAAACCTAGCAAAAAGCTAACTGTATCATACTGCAATTTTGAAAAAATTGAACTGTTTTGTTTTACACTAAAATAATATAACCGAATTGTAAAGAAATGCACGGTTCGACATAATTTTTGGTTTATCTTCGTATTTGTACACATTTTATTCAATTTGGTGCGGTTAAATGCAAACCGCACCAAACCGAATAATGTAGAAGATGATGGTCTCGGATCGTGCAACATTTCAACGTCATACGATTTGTTCCTTTATAGCCGTTATTATTTTTTTCTTTTCTTTTCTTTCGTGTGTTTTTGCGTTTTAATAAGAATAGACGACGTCGTCTAATGTGATTTATACTAATACACAGAACGGCGTCGCTTAGGGTTGATGCATGTAAATAAAGGCTCGGACTCTTTGTACTGTCAATACACGTGAAATAACAATATCTCATTTTGTTGGTTGAGCTAAGATTCTACATGGTATCAGAGCAGTAATCGATCCTTGAAGCTCGATCTCATCTACGATGGCGAACAATCGATCAACCGAAGCTTGGCCGCTGCTGAATGCGCGTGCAGGAAACAATACCGATGATCGAGATGATAATCCTTTCTTCTTAAGCTCGTCCGACAATCCAGGTATGCAATTAGTTTCGCATCCCCTCAATGGATCTAATTACATGGCATGGAAGCGGTCGATGGTGATCGCTCTTGGTGCAAAGACGAAGTTAGGGTTTGTGAATGGTGAAATTGAGATACCAGCTGCGAATGATGCTAATTACATTAAGTGGAAAAAGGTGGATTGGATGGTGATTTCGTGGATTTTGAACTCCTTATCGAAAGATATTGCTGAATGTATGATTTATGCTGAGTCTGCGAAAGAGTTGTGGGATGAAATTGCTCAGCAGTTTGGAGAAAGAAATGGACCGCTGATTTACCAGTTGCAGCGAGACATTGCTAATCACAAACAGGGAAATGAGCCTGTTATGCTATATTTTAACAGGTTGAAGAAGATGTGGGATGAATTGGGGACTTTGGTACCTCAGCGTACATGCAACTGTGATGTTGGGAAGTACAATATTGAACAACACATGCAAGGGAAGTTAATGCAGTTTTTAATGGGGCTAAATGAGAGTTATGATAATGTTAAAAATCAACTCCTGTTGATGGATCCTCTACCCACAGTTAGTAAAGCATATTCCATGATTTTGTCAGCTGAGAGACAAAGAACGGTGACCTCAACTCTTGGTGAAACACAGCCTAATGTAGCCATGATGACAAAGCATAGTGGATTTGGTAGGGACAGCAGCACGAGAA